CAGGGAAAAAAAAAAAGCTCTCAAGGAAAAAGAACCTCACCTTTCAGCTGTGGAAATGCATCCCCAGTGCATAGTTTGGTTTTTGCCTATTTTAAACAGTCTTCTGGGAAGTGACCTGGATGAAGTAATCATCAGCCTTGTGTTTATGCTCTGCATCTCTTGGTGGAATGAAGTTGCTGAGTGAAGAAGGAAGGGTCCTGCTAAACTGCTGAAATCCCACTGCAGTTTTCTTGCTACTTAGGATTTAAGAAACCTACAGACTGCTTAAAAAATAAAGAAAAATCAGACAAATGCTCAATGTGTAGGTTCAAGAGATACAGAACACTGCAGTGCTCAGGAAGAACTCCAGCAAGCTCATCGTCCCTCTTTCTAATTCTCAGGCCAGGAATAGTATATCCTTCAATATCAAGAAATGCTAAAGGCACTAATGTAAGAGGCACAAAGATTTCACTGTAAGCAAGAAATAGAATATACCTTGAAAAAAATCATCTAATTGTGTAGGCAGCTAAGATTATGGGATATGGTTTGCCTTTTCTTAGTGCTTTATGGAAACCCAGAAAGAGCAGCCAATGGGAAAAGTACAGTCTGTTATGGACAGCCTTTACAAGTTGCAGTAGGCACTTTGTTTTACAGCTTAGAAGGTAACACCAACCCTCCAGATTGTGAGGCTAATGAAATCTGTCGTAAAATATTGAGTATCCCTTCCCACAAAGTCAGCAGTACAGCAGCTATGGTCTTTCCAGAGCTGTCTTGCACTAGGTCACATGGAGCATGGGCAGGGTAGAGTCATTTTTCTAGATGTATGGTGAAATTTGGTGTAAAAAGGAGGTAAGCATCCTTCCCTTCATGAAACAACCAAGTAAGGTGAGTTGTGACAAATTCATGCAGCAACATAAGGTGCTAGACTCTGAGACACATTAGGGCTGCCAAAGTGTTTGAGATAGCTATCTATCTGAGTTATTTGGCAGGATGCCTCCAGTTCCAGAAATATAATTTCCTATCAGCTAAAGGCTCATGTGTCACTGCTGTTCCAGCTGACGAATGTGCAAACCGCCAGGTGGATGATTTGGAATTAGCTGTGGGTAGCTGGTGGGAAGAATTGAATAAGAGGAGGGGATAGATAAGAACTGCACAGCAATAAAAAAATAATTTCTTCCTCCTCTTTTATCTTCACTACTCATCGCTGTCTCTGTGAAGACAGTTCTGGCTTTTTTGATACTTCCTGTTGTAATTTTTATCATTGTTATTGATATGTACAATATACCAATATACAGTTGACAGCTGATGAAGGAGAAAATGAGCATCTGAAAGAGAAGAAATGGTATCAAAGTGCCTGAGGTGTTTTAATCTACAGCCGTACTTCTTGATGAGAAAGTTACATTAAAATTGTGTGGCATGTGGTGTACTTCAGTTCCACATTACTGCTGGACATGGAGACAACATAAACTGGCTACAAGTTTGTATACACTTATCCTTGGAAGAATGGCTGTAAAAGAAGGAGTTGTCAGTATGTTAGGCATCAGGGCCAGAAGAACTGAGAAGACTGAGTTAAGCAGAACAGTATTCTTATACATTCTTAATTGCCTTGAAAATGTTGCCCTCGATGCAGGAAAACACTGTCCATCAAGCTTTAATTGAAGGGAGAGAATAAGAGGTTTGACTTTAGATCTTCCTGGGAAAAGTTGGGTATCTACACAAACCCTCACAATCTTTTCTGTAACTTCAAAAAGGAAAGAATGTAATGTGAAGATACTTGATTTTGTAGTTTTACATACATATCCAAATGCATTCATTTATCTAGTCATTTGTCTTTGCCTTCCTCCGTTCTCTTCCTTTCCTTGGAAGGGTAAAAAGAAGTACTAAATAACAAAAAGAAGTAGTTGAATAAATGTAAGTCTTGAATATGAAATTATCTGATAAGAAAATGTTTGAAAATATTAAAAGGTGAGTCTTACATTTCTCATGGGACAGTACAGAGAAGTGTTAATTTTTTTCAATTTGCAAAAGAAGTAAAAGAATATCTGGAGGTTAATGAGGATATTCTTACTACTACAGAAGGATATGGCACATAGGTATATGCAGACCACGTCATCTAGGTATCTAGAATGATTGCATTTTGAATGATGCAGAGCCTAGGAAGCTTATCTTCCCTGATCTCTATGGTTTTTCAGTGGCTGCCAAAGCGCAGAGCAGTGAAGCAGAGAGAGTAAACTAAACAACCAGGAATAAGCAAAGGAATGCATTCTGGAACCTGGCAGCCTGCGGCCACTCACCTTACATACAAATGAATTTTTTGCACATAACCCCAAAGTAGAATATATTACACAGTAGAATATATCCTCTGCTGTCAGTATTAGAGCAGAAGCCAGTAGTGTCTGAAGATTCTTTCTTGGTTAGTATTGTGGAAATTATATTCTTCCAACTTCTCTTTATGAAAGCACTCAGAAAACGGAGGCAATATGAATGGACTTAGCAGAACCAGTCTTCCAAGGAAGTATCTGAAGGGGTTGTATGCTTTTAGCAGCAATGGGCAGTCATGAGCAGAAGTGTAAGAAAAGTATATGCTCATCATCTAAAATGGGAACATTCCACTTCCACACTTACTCCTAGGACATTCACTCAAGTGTGCAATTGCTAAATAAACCTCACTTTACCTGTTCAAGATATAATGGTGGAAGACACCTTCTTGTGCCTCATCTGTCTCAATACTCCCACCAAAATCAATTGATTGTGCAGAGAGTTTTCAGGATCAGGCCCCTAAAGGATAACTGTTTCCATCCTTTTATTTAGGCTTGTAATATTTCTAGTATTTTTGCAAAATATGGCTGAAGGTGGCTGTTAGAGTAGACTAATTCATAATTAGTGACCAGGATATTCAACTTCAATTCAATCACCTTCTTGTACTGCTGAAAATATAACTCTCATCCTTGAATAAAATCCATTCTTCGAAGTGCAACACACCGAGTTTTACAGAGTAATAGATTTTACACAGTAATTTGCTACTGAGAGTTAGCAAAAGCTTCAACATGTATTTTGAAATCAGAAGGTTATCATTGGTTTAGAAGACATCAGATTGGGCAGATGTTGCTAAAAATAAGGTTTTGATCCTGCCCCAAAATATTTCTTCTCTGTGCTTCTAATTTGAATTTTTTCAGTCCTTAGAGAACTGATTCCCATCCCCCACCTACACCCACCTCTGTCTCTGATATTTTAGACAAGTGAAAAACAGGAGAAAGTACTTTGAATAACTACAGTTAACTTTTGTGTTAGTAATTTTTTTCAATTAAATACTCACTGGAAGCACAGAGAAACAGCAATGACAGACAGTGATGATTCAAAGAACATGACAGCATTTCTTTTCCTTTAGAATTACCATTGCATTAGTACTTGCTTGTTTGCAGGATTTTCTGTCTGAGGAAAAAAGGAACTGCTCTTCAGTCACATCTACTACTCATTTCTTATCAAATACTGTGTGCAAGAGACACACATTTTTTGAGATGATAAAAAAATTATTAGGTCCTCCAGAAGAGAAAAAAAAAAAGTAGAATTTTGTTTTTAGGTATGTTTTAACTTTAATCATTTGTAACCATTTGTCATCCAAAGGGTAGTGAAAAGCCATTGCTATTTAGTGTTGATTCTGTTTTGTTTGCTTAATAACAATTATTGAGACAGTCTGTAAAAGACGTCAACTAGTTTAACACTGTAAAACTAGGTTTTGAAAAAATGGGTAGTTTAAGAATTTAATGGTTAAAAGCTTGTAAAATACAAAATAGATTTTTAGGGTAAAATATTTTTGGTAGTTTAGGAAAAAAATGAATCTACATGTGGCAAGTATTCCATGTTTAATCCAAGTGTGGCAATTGAGTTCCCATAATGCACTATTCAAGTCAAAAGTGTTTAGTCTTCAGCTCAGACCCAGGGAACAACTGCTGTGAATAAGGACTGCAATATTTAACTTTATGGAAGGAAAAAAAAATGTCCTTTGGCACACATGTTTTTCAATTTTGTAAAATAACTTTGAGAGAAAAAATAAGAATACATGAGAGCACTTTTTAGTAAATTGCAATCTGAACAAAGTAACATATTCCTAGTGCTATTATATAGTGATTTTTACTCATGGCCTATCAACTATGATCTGCTACAATGACACAAACAAGCAGGAATCTTGTTCTGCTTCAAGTAGAGTACTTTAGAAATCAATGACCATCCTGTGTTTAACCAGTCATAAAAAAGATAGATAGTTAAAAGCTTGAAAAACTGTAGAAGTTATGCCTACAGCTGCCTCAGAGATAGGCTAGTCTTTTATTTATATCAAAATAATAGCTTTCTTATAACTCTGCCTTTTCAACTTAAGTTAAAACCAATATGTGTAGGTAAGTTGCTAATTCCATGAATCCCAGACCTTTCCAGAAAATAATGTCCATGTTTTGATCCCACCAGAGACATTTCTTACTGTCTTTTGGTGGTTTCTCTATAGCAAGCAGATCACCAATGACATATTTCCCAAAACCTATGGGATATCGCTCAAAAAGTTCAAATACAAATGAGTGGTTTCGTTGGCTTTGGCTTATTTGCCAATGCCAGTGTATGTTGCTCGGAGCCTCAGGGATGTGGCAGCATTTTGAAAAAAGTATAGGAATGAAGAACAAAAATGATATATTTAACTTTTGCCTGAATTGTGTATAGCTTCTAAGCCAAGGGAGAATAGTAAAGATTCTAATATACAATAATTATTCATAAACATCGCTTACACTACAAATTCAGCTGAATTTTGTAAGAATCTTTTCCTTAAAATGAATAGCAGTAAGGAGAGAATTCTTCCATGTTTTTCTTTTTGAGGCAATTACATATTAAAATTCTTCATCAGGCTCTGTGATGGTGAAGATTAATGTGGCCTTTATAATTTGAGATGAAACTGACCGTGTCCTTCACTTTTTCTGCACTTTCACCATCCCTCCGCACTGTGAAAACACAGCAGTCTTCACCACTACAGGCAACATTTAAAGATAGAGGTATCCAACCCAGTAGACCAGGTTAAACAGCAGGAAGGATGTAGGAAAAAAGACCCTAGAGTAAGAGTCCAGTTCTAAGATGTCTATGTGAATTCGTCCTCTCCTCCATGAGCCTGATTTACACTCTTCATAACAACAGAAAAAGCTCTGACAGTCCTTCCCATCCAGACATTCATAGACGCACGCATCTTCAAATTCTTGCCAATACATGGCATTGTTCAATGTGATGACTGTGGTTGGTGGTCTCATATCAAGTACAGAATAATTCTGAGGAGAGAAAAAGAAACCAACAGTTTGATAAACTTCCATGGATGATGCAGATCACAATTAATAATCACAGGAAAAAATCACAGAAGCTAGGAATAAGAGGTCAATACTATAGGAATTCTAGATTTGGGGATCATCTTTCTTTCCCTCAAAAGATGCCTTTTCAGATGAATTTCCATAGAGAGATTGTGGTGTGGCAAGTTAAATAATTCTAGGTGTATTTTCTACTTGGGTAACTCAAGCATATATTGCCTAGTAATAATTTTTTCACACTTAGGAGTTCACTTGCCTGTCAGAATATTATTTGCAAGTTGCTTTAAACCCTTGCAGCTACTACATTTAAGAATGGACTCTGAAAAATAAAGAAGACGTCCCCCCTCCCCATTTAATTACACAACGATCTCCACTTCGTATAACTGCATTCACTGCCTCATAACTTTACCATGATTTATAAAAGCAGATATGGTCAGCAACAGATAGTGATGATTTCAGTACAGGATTTCAAAACGCCATCCCTAGGCATGTCCCCTTAGTGCTTATCACACTAACCATGCTCAGAAAAAGGGCACTTTGATATCACATATCCTGACTGTACCACTCACGCCTACAGACCTCTCCTTCAATGTACTCCCTATTTACACTTTTCCGTCACACCATTTCATTTTCATGAAAGGTTCTTTCTCATGATAGTCTCCTCTCTTATTAAGCTACACGTTCCATCCTCACAAATGTCACCTCTTCCACTGGCATCACTAGGAAAGGTCCCATCATCTTCACTGCCTGTCTGCACTGCCCCAACAAAGCAGACTCCAGCCCTGTCAGCACGGGTTTCTACACCTCAGGGACCCTTCTTCTCCCTGTGATTGCACTTAGCATTGCCTTTGCCTGCAGGAAGATGCCAGGTATGTACTTCCAAGCTAGCCATGCCTCTGCATCATGCCTGCTTGTATTCTGGTGGGTGCTCTGGGCCCCTGCTTCCACACTTGCTATACAAAATATGCGACATTTCCTGCT